TGCCAGAGCTCTGGGGCAGCTCCTGGCTCTGCCATTTGCCCCCACCCACGACTCCCTCGCTGCCGTGAGATGCTGCCAGGGGCTGGCCAGCTGCGCTGGTGGATCTCTCGTGTGGGTTTCTGACTGGTGAGAAATGGGGGCTTAGAGAGAAGGTGCAAACAGCTGGAAGAGGCAGAGGGAAGGAGCAGAGCTGGGGGTTACAGCCGGAGGGGCACAGCGAGGCAGCACTGCGGGACTGGCCCCAGTGAGGAGCTGCTGCCAGAAACGTGTCCCTCACAAGCCAGCAGAATGTGGTGGCACCTGGAGAGTCCTGACAGTGCTGGCATTCTCCTCCTTTGCCACAGCGAGAGCTCGAGCCCTGTGCAGAGCACGTGGGTCTCCTCCTGAGCCAGGGAATTGTCCCCTGCTCCTTGTCAGGAACTGGCAATGTCACCAAGGAATACAAAAACCCATTTTCTTCTCCAGAAACCCTGATGGTGAAGTGTGGCATCACTGTGGCATCCCTGGAAGGGCTCCCCAGAGCATCCCGTGGTGCTGCCCCTTGGCAGAAGGGAAGAAGGATGAAGTCCAGGCAGGGAGGTCGGTCGGGTGATGAATTAATGGGAAGTTCCTCCCCATTTCCTCCTTCCCTCAGCTCGGGCCCATTTTGAGAGCAGGACAGGAGGCGAGAGGTGGCCGAGGCCACCCGGGCAGTCCCTGGCTCAGCAGTGGCCGCAGTCAGTCCCACAGAGAGCAGGTTTGGGGTCGTTCCTCTTACCCTGCTAGCGAGGAGAGGCTCCCCCGGGAGGAGCAGTCACCAGCCGGGCAGCCCCGGTGTCACCGCCGGGCACCTGCCGGTCCCTCCTGCGTGTCCGGCGGCTCCTCTGGCCTCTCCTGCACTTGCGGGGGACACTTATAGGCTGCCCCCTGCCCAAAGGCTGCAGGAGGTGTGGCGGGGTGCCCAAAGGCTGCAGGAGGTGTGGCGGGGTGCCGGGACAGCCGGCACGGACTCGGACCGCAGGCGGTCGGACAAGTTCTTCCTCTGAGCCGGGGGCAGCAAAGCCGGGCCGGGGCAGCCTCCTGCCCCGCGGGTTCCACAGCACCTCCGCGGGTGGGGGGCTGAGCTGGACCTGCCCCCAGCTCACCCGTGGCCTCAGGACTCGCCCAGAGCCTGACCGGCCACGCTCCTGCCCGGTGGCACCGCGGGGCTGCCCGGGTGGCTGAGGCAGGAGAGCAGCAGAGGAGGAGCTGGAGGATGGAGGTGCTGGAGGCTGAGGAGGGCAAGGCCCGCCTCGTGTCCTGCAGCACCGCTGGGCTCATCCATTTCCAAAGGTCGACAATAAATAAGGAGTTCCCAGTGGCAGGAACCATCCCGGCACCCCTGTCCCACAGCTGGAGCTGCGGCCTGACTCTGCAGCCTCCAGCACGGCTGCCAGAGCTGGTAGAGAGCCAGGATCGGGCCGAGGGCACTGTCCCAGCACCAGGCTGGGGCTGGGGACGCTCAGCACCTCGGCAGAGCCTTTCCCATGCTTCCTGAGCCCCTGGATCCCTCCGGATCCCTCGTGAGCTCCTGCCTGGCAGGGACGCAGGGCGCTGGTGACCAGACCGCTGCTGTCTTACCTCTTTAAGGGCCGATGTGTCTTGGCTGCTGCCGAGTTTTTACTGGCACGCTTAACCTCTAACTAGGAAAGGAAAAACAGCGTTTGGTATGTCAGCCTGGGACGCTGCTAACCCCACACCTCCAGCTTCCCCCTGGCACCGCTGGTTCCTTCCAGCCCGGGACACCTTCCCCCTGAGGAGCCGTGGAGCAGGGCTGCAGGACCTCAGGGGAGCCTCGGGATCGGGGAGCCTCGGGATGGGGGTTCTCGGGATCGGGGAGCCTCCCGAGCTGGGAGGGACCCACAGGGATCACCCGAGTCCACCTCGGGTCACAGCGCGGGGGCAGCGGGGCTCGGCCCCCGGGAGGGACAGGGCTGTGTCTGTCTGTCCCTCGAGAGGTGCGGGACAGGGGCACAGCCGTGTCCGTCTGTCCCTCCGGAGGTGCGGGACAGGGGCACAGCCGTGTCCGTCTGTCCCTCCGGAGGTGCGGGACAGGGGCACAGCCGTGTCCGTTTGTCCCTCCGGAGGCAGGGGCACAGCCCCGCAGCACAGGGAGGAAGGGCAGATGCCCTCCGGGACGTTCCCGGACGGCCGCAGGTGCCGCTCCGGCTCCTCCCGGGGCAGGAAAGCGCCGCGGATTCCCAGACCCCGCCTCTGCCCAGTGGAAATTTTGCCCGTTTTGTGAATTCAGCTCACAGCCCGCTGTCCCCCGGTGCCTGGCACAGGCGGCGGCGCTTTCCTCGCCAGAGATTGTGAGGAAGGAACATCCGTGGCATGGGAATGAAGCCGCCGCAGCCGGCCGTGTATCAGCAGCGCCGGGGCGCAGCCCACGTGGCTCCGGAGGAACCCGGAGCGCAGCGCCCCAAAAGCCTCCTCGGGGGGTTCACAGCATTCCCAGCTCCATCCTCCTCCTCCGGCCACCACGGCCCGCCGGGGCTCAGCGCCACAGCCCCGAACCCGACGGAGCTCCCGACTCGAGGTAGAAGCCGAAAGGGAACTTACTGCGCTCAGCCGGGTCTTATTCTGCTCCCCGCGCCGGGCACCAGCAGGGCTCTGCCAACTGACAGGCAGCTTAAATATTGCCAGAGAATCGGGGTTTGCCAGCGGAGCTGTTAACAGGGTCACAAGGAATGAGAAGGAATATTTATAGTCAAAGTTAAACTAATTGACCGAAGTTACTCTTTTGGTCTCCCGTGGCTCTGGTGAGAAGTGCATTATTTTCACTATCAGGGCTCCCGGGTCAAACTCCACGGAGTGCCATTCTCTTAAGCAATCTGTGCGGCTACGCGAGGGACACAGAACAATAAAAAATCAGGGCTGATGTCCTCTGGAGCTGACAGCCCGTGGCACAGGGAGGAGCTGAGAGCCAGCCCTGTCTCTGGTTTGTGCCCGAGCCTCGCAGAGCGCAGGATCCATCCGTGGGCTGCCGTTTGTAACACGCTGCCGAGGCTGCAGGTTCATCCCAGAACCGAGTCCCGCTCTGGCAGCGGGCTGGAGGTTTGTCTTGAGCATCACCTGCCCGAAATCCCTGACAAACCGTTAGGGCCAAAACACGCAGAGTGACACTGAGGAGGGACCTCGCAGCACAGCGCCCGTGGAAGGAGCAGCTCATAAATCCCTGGAATTGGGCACCCAAATCCCCAGCAGCACCACTGAGGAGCCCTTGCTGGGCAGGGGACCCACGAGCCTGGAGGGCAGATGGAGATTGGGCACTGTGCCCTCACAAGCCTAATCCATGCCCAGCCTTGAAGTCAGCAGCAGGGATTTCACTGTGGGCAACCTGCTAAGGGGGTGTTTTAACCTGCCAGGGGCAGGGTTAGCTGAGGTGTTGGGAATAAATTCTTCCCTGGGAGGGTGGGGAGGCCCTGGCACAGGAGAAGCTGTGGCTGCTCCATCCTGGAAATGCCCAAGGCCAGGTTGGACAGGGCTTGCAGCAGCCTGGGATGGTGGAAGGGGTTAGGGGTGGATGATCTCCCAAGTCCCTTCCAGTGCAAACTTGATGATTCCATGCAAAAACAGTGTCTGTGTTTTACCTCATTGTTTGCAATTGGAGATGTGTTCATTTGATCTGCTATGATTTGGAAACCCCCAATTTTCCTAAAGTTGGATCCTAAAGGTGCTGCAGGTGTCTTGTGCTGCCTCCCCATCTATACCCCCTTTTTCCCCCGACTTACAGCCCTTCCAGCCTGAAGCTGAGATCCTTCTTTGTCCCTTTGGCATCTTCCACGGCACCTGGAGAGCAATTACAGACCGTGACCCCCCCCCCCCCCCACAATCGAGGTATTTAGAGGGAGGTTCCCAGGTGGTTCCACTTTGCCTTGGAGGTGCCTGGTGCAAACGTGTCCAGCTGTGATCCCCCTGACTGTGCTCAGGCTGCCCGGTTCCTCTCGGAGGGCTTTCCCCCTCTTCTTCTTGCACAGAAGAGAGAAATGCCTGAATCACCTGAGCTTTGGAACGCGAGCTGGGATTTCCAGGGACACCGACCCTGGTGTGTCAGAGTGGCACCCGTGGGGCAGGAGCAGCCGGGGCTGCGCTCCCTGCCCTGCTCTTTTAGGTTGTTATTTCTTTTCCAAGGACCGGCTTTCCTGGGGGGATGATCCCGTGCTCAGGGCTGACGCAGGAATTCTGCGTGAGGCTCAAAGGTGCCGGCTCTGGGCAGGAATTGCCTCGTGTCTGCAAAACCAAGTTTCCAGGAGAAGGGGAGCGTGCAGGGAACGGCGTGGGCGCGGCGTGGGACGTGGGGAATCAGGCTCGGGGACACTGGGACATCCTTCCTGCCGCTTTATGGGCTCGGCCCGGGCGCTGCAGCCGTGCCCGCCGCGCTGGGCCGGTCCCTGCGGGGCAGGAGGAGCTGGAGCACTTCAAACGGAATTTCAGGGTGGCTCGGGATGCTCGGGACCCTTGGAGGTCACCGGGTCCAGCTCTCCGCCGCCTGGGGCGCATCCCGGGGATCGATGCCGTGGTTTCAGAGCCTCGGGAGGAGCTGCCCGCCGGGGACAACGCGGGTGGCTCTGCAGGAGCCGCTCCGGCCTCGGGGAGCTGCCGGGACCAGCTGAGCCACAGCACCTGACAGGAGCCGCTCCCGGCCCCTGCTCCGAGTGCCGCGGCAGATAAATCGCCCCAGGACACGAACTCAGCCTCGGCCAAGATTCTTTCTCAGAGGGAAACAATTCACTGGTTCATACAGTTCACCAAATGTTTTCTTCTGAAGGCTGGAGTTAAAAATCCATAGTATTTTAAGAATTTGCTGCTCGTTTTGATCCCTCCAGCCTGGGTGCTGTGGTGCAGGAACGTCCTTCTCCACACCGGCCCCAGCCCAGCCAGGTGAGACCCTGCAGGTGTCGGGGCCAGGACTAACAAGTGCAGAATCCCTCCCACCATCACCAGCAGCACTTCTGCACGGGGGACAGAGGTCTGTGCAGTCGGGAGGCAGGAGGCAGTAGCTTTATTTTAGGAATAGCACATAGGCATCGGGTAGAGACTGAACTGTGAATATACATCGTCCCGTTATCAAATCATATCACCAGAAGTTCTGGCTCTTGGAAAATATTCACATAAAAAATACCAAAGGGATTGGAGTTCTAACTATTTCAGAAAGTTACAACACGTAGCAAAATCTATGTACAGCATCTTCTGTCAGGACAGTTTCAAAAGAACCTCTGGTGGTTTAAATATTGGATATGCTTTAAAAAAAAGGAAAAAAAAAATCAACGGAATGCAGTGTGCAACATCCAAAAGGAAAAGAGGAGCAGAGGAGCGTGGCCCTGTCCTGGACCTCTGGGAACACAAGGCTACCCACTACCTGGCACTTAAAGCTGTATAAACGGAGAACACTTGTGAAAATATACTTCACTTTCTACAGCAGGGTTTAAAAAAATCCCAAAACCCGGAGACTTGAGGGTGGTGAGGTGTCCCGTCAGTAATGCACCGGTGGTTGTGCCTTGAGCGGAGGCTGCAGGAGGAGCTGCTCTGGAGGGGGCGTGGGGCTGTGGGGAGGGTCTCCAGCAGCTGCTGGGGCCCGTTGCAGTCTTTGGGAAATGTGTGCCAGTGGGATTTTACCGGATGGACGCGAAACCCCTGGAAGTGGAGGGTGCTAAGGAAGCTCTGGCAGGACCGGTGCAGGGTTTATCTTCGTGTCACCCTCTGTCACCCTCTGTCACCCTCTGTCACCTGCGGTGCCTTCTCGGTGCCCACCTGCCCGACCCCTCCTCCGTGACTCCGCCGGGTGGTAGCAGGCGGCAGCGGCGTATTTACAACCCGACTGGACAGGAGCAAATTGCACTTCGTTGGCAATGGATTGCTGCACCCCGGGGGGCTGCAGGCCGTCACCAGGCGAGGGGGGAGCTCATCCTGGGGCTGCGCTGGCTCTCGCCCACCTGCACGTCACCGAGAGCCCGCTGTGGGACAGGAAGGGCAGCGCTGAGGGCGGCTGCTGTGGCAGCAGAAGTGCAGGGCACTGGCACAGGGTGCCCAGAGCAGCTGGGGCTGCCCCCGGATCCCTGGCAGTGCCCAAGGCCAGGCTGGATGGGGCTTGGAGCAGCCTGGGACGGTGGAAATGTCCCTGCCCAGGGCAGGGGTGGAACATGGGGTGACCTTTAAGGTCCCTTCCAACCCAAACCATTCCAGGACTGCATGAACAAGCACATCACTCTCCCCCGGGGCCTCCCTCTGTGTCCCACCCTGGCAGCTGATCTGTATGTTAGAAAAATTGCACCTTATCAGCTTTAGAAAAGTTTTCTCTAACTCGGGTTCAGCTGCTCACGAAAGCCCATCCCACTGACACACAAATAACACACCTCACTGACACCCACGGGAGACACCTGGCTGCCTCAGAAGGCTTCAACTCACCTCAAACTTGCTCATGAACTCTGCAAAAATGCCAAAGAAGGCTTCAGAAGTTGTCATTTTTGAGTCTTCCCCGAAGAAGGACAGCACCTTGCTGAACTCCTCCATGGCCCTGTGCTGCAGGTCGTCCAGGGAGCGCATGGCAGGCTGGGCACTCTCCAGGAAGGACTGCAGGAATTGGCTTAAGGACCAACGAGCTGCTCCTCTGCCAGGGATCCCAACCCCTTATCAAGCTCTTATCAAGCTCTTATCAAAGGCCTTATCAATCTCTTATCAAATGGCCGGGTTCCAGCCCAGCTGGCAGCAGGGAGCTGCTGCACAGGCACGCGTGGAGGTGCTGGCAGGCTCAGCGGGTGCCAAGGCCAGAAGTGCCAGCACGTTCCCTGGGGCTGTGCCACGCAGGGGCACCGCCAGACCTGCTGCCCACCCTGGCTGGGAGCGGGGGCAGCTCCCCAGCAGTGCCACAGCCCTGGCAGGGCTGGCAGGGAGCCCCGGGCAGCGGCAGGTCCCAGGGGAGGGCACTCGGTGCCAGGCTGGCCCCTCTCAGGGAAGGATACGCTCATGACCACGGCGAACCTGTCCTCGGCGGAGGCTGGCATGCTGTGGCACGCCTTCTGGATGTCCCCCACCGTGCTGTGCAGGTCCTTCAGCTCGGCTGTCAGCGTCCTCTGGTTCACTGCGGGGGCACAGCGGGGTCAGCAGGGCCGGGGCACCAGGCTGGGGCTGTCAGTCTGTCTGTCTGTCTGTCTGTCCATCTGCAGTGCCCTGCTGGCCGGGCAGGGTGGGCAGCCAGAGCAGGAGCTCCTGGTGCCCACAGCTAGAGGAGCCAGGAGGGACAAAACACGCCAAGGAGCGCCCAGGTCCTGGTGAGGGACACTCAGGTGCCGGGAGGGGACAGGAGGGACACAGGACACCAAGACCAGGGGGACGCAGTGGCAGGAGTTTGGGCAGCCGGGAGCCTCCAGTGATGGAAGGGTTATTTGAGTTTGGCCAGAGAGAAACTCCAGCTGGGAAAGCTCCAGGTGCAGCCAGTGGAAATGCACAGCTCCAGGCTGGAGTTTGCTCCCTTATTGATCCACTGTGGCACTAATTCCCAAGGGAATTGCTCACAAACACCAGGGGATGGTGTGCAAGGGGAATGCAGCTCCAGCTTTGTGGAGATTCAATGCATCCTTTAAAATCACAGAATCCTGGCATCATTTAGGCTGGGAAAGCCTCTAAGGTCGAGCAGCCCAAGTGTTTCCCCAGCACTGCCCGAGCCATCACTGACCCAAGCCCTGTCCCCAGGTGCCACATCCACACAGCTTTTAAATCCCCCCAGGGATGGGGACTCCACCCCTGCCCTGGGCAGCCGTGCCAGGGTTGGGCAGCGTTTCCAGGAATGAATTTTCCCTAAAATCCCACCCTGAGCTCCCCTGGCCCAGCCTGAGGCCGTTCCCTCTCCTCCTGTCCCTGTTCCCTGGGATCAGATCCCAAATCCCCCCGGCTGTCCCCTCCTGGCAGGAGCTGTGCAGAGCCAGAAATTCCCCCTGATCCCCCTTTGCTCCAGGCTGAGCCCCTTCCCAGCTCCTCAGGAACTCTCCATTCCCTTCCCAGCTCCTCAGGAACTCTCCAGCCCCTTCCCAGCTCCTCAGGAACTCTCCAGCCCCTTCCCAGCTCCCTCAGGGATTCTCCAGCCCCTTCCCAGCTCCCTCAGGAACTCTCCAGCCCCTTCCCAGCTCCCTCAGGGATTCTCCAGCCCCTTCCCAGCTCCCTCAGGGATTCTCCAGCCCCTTCCCAGCTCCCCCACCCCCTCCTGGGGCTCCAGCCCTTCCCCAGCCCGTTCCCTGCAGTGCCAGCACAGGGACGGGCACTGCCCTGCTCCTGTGTCACCTGCCCAGCCTCTTGTGACACCCCCAGACAGCTCCAGGGCGTGGAGAACAACTCCAGCACGAGTTCTCCAGGCTGCCCTTCCTTGCAGAAAACCGGGCTGGAGGCTCCTTGTTCAAGGTGGGACTGCAGTGGGAGCCCTCCCCGAGGTTCTGCAGCACAGGTGACCGTGGCAGCGCCGTGCTGGCACCTGCAGCAGCACCTGCACACCTGGAGGGAGGCTGGGCACATCCCCTGGCACTTCTGAGATGCCTCTGAACTCGGGGATCAGCGTTCCAGGGCAGGAGGGAGCAGCAGGGCAGGGGCAGAGCCTCGGCCAGGCACTGCCACGGCGGCAGCGTGGGGTGGGTGGCACCTCCCTGTCACCGAGCTCTCCCTGCCTAAGGCTCTCCTCCTGCTCAGGACCATTCCTGCCCTGCTCTGGCTCCCATCCTGCTCCTGCCACGGCTGTGCAGCTCCTGCCTGAGCCCAGAGGCAGTGCAGGCCCACACGGGGCTTGCTGCTGCTCCTTTACCTTTGGCAGCGAGCGGCACCGTCGGGAGGTCCTTGGCAAAGCCCAGGAGCTCTGGGAAGTGTTGGCTGAGGGATTTGGCAAGAATGTGCAGGAAGGTGGATTTCCCATCGACAGTCTTGGTCGTGTTCAGCTGCAGCAAAGCAGAACGAGTGAGGAACCCGTGCAGAGGGAGCGGGGCTCAGCCCCACGTGGGTAATGGTTAAACTGCACATTTCGTGTTTGCACATCTCTGTGCCCAAATTAGTGCTGTGGCAGTGCCCCCCTGCAGGGCAGGGCTGTCCCCCTGTCCCCACCCCTCAGGAGCCCCATGTTGCCCTGATTTTTAAAAGTGTTATTTTTCTTTTATAGTTCTTTGAAAAGTTTTAAGGTTCTCGTAAAAATTCTTCATCCTTCTGATCTGTTTGCATATTTCTACTGGAGTTCTCACGCACTGCTCATGTAAATAATGATTGTTTTGCATTCTTCTTTGTGAGAAGAATTGATAGACTGTTGGTTTGGCCAGTGTGGTTGGAGAGGTGGTAATTCCATCCTCCAATCCACGGTCACCTCTGGAGTTGTATAAATACCAGATGTTGGAATAGAACTCTCTCTTTTTCTCCTTTGAACTCACCAAGCTCCTGTGCACTCATTTCATGCCCAATGGCGACAGTGCCACTGCAGCCCCTGTGGGGTGAGGAATTGTCCCACCCAACCCACCCTGGGCAGCCCGAGGTGGGCAGGACTCCCAGCAGAGGCACCAGAGCCCCAGCAGAGCCTCTCTGAGGTGCCCCTGTGGATCCAGGCAGCCCCTGGAGCCCTCCTGCCCCTGGGCTTTGCTGGGCACGGGGAGCTCCCAGCTCGGTGCCCTGCCCCAGGAGCCAGCCTGGCTCCCCTCACCTCGGTCAGGAAGTTGATTTTAAAGCCCGTTGTTTTGCTGGTCTTGGGCTGCCCGTTGTTCAGGTAGTTTCCCATGGCCAGCACGAACTGCAGAGAGGAGAGAATGAGGGGTGGGACCTCCTGCCCCTGTGTCCTCCCAGCTCCTGGGACCGAATTCCTGCTCCCCACCCACCAGTGTGCAGCAAGCATTGCCCCCATGGACTTCAGGAACTGGTGGGAGCTCTCTGGCCAGGAGCTATGAGGAGTTCATCACCCATCTGCAAACGCCTCTGAGCACACAGCCACCTCATTTGTCCCAGCTGCTTTTTTAAAAATGAATTAACAGCAAGTGGGGACAGCTCATCTGAGGAGGCTCAGGGAGGACCTGTGGTGGAATTTGTTCTCTCTGCCAGGCACAGCCTATCCCAGGACCCCAAAAACGCCTCTCAGGGGGACAGGCAGTGTGGGGGTGCACAGCCTGCAATGCTGCCCAAATGTGGGGCACAGGCACGGGGCTGGAGCTGCTCCTGGGCACTGCTGAGGGCCAGGGGTGACCACCACCAGGAGCAGGGAGCGCTCTGACCTCCAGGATCTTTGCCAGCTTCTTGCTGCCTTTCAGCTCCAGGGAGGCCTTGCAGATGCACTCATAGCTGGCTTTGATCTCCTCGGTCTTCTCCTGCAGGGTGCTCTTGAAGTGCAGGCTGCGCAGGCGGATCTTGTACTCGGGCACCGAGAGCATCTGGGCACAGGGAGGGCAGGGTCACCTCCCAGAGGCACAGCCCCTCCTGCACGGGCTGGGCTGCTGTGCCACCACGGGATGGGCGCTTCCACAGCAGCACCCACGGGTGACATCCTCACTGGAAAATAAACCCGAGCTGGGCAAAGGCACCGTCACCAGGGAGC